AGGTGGTCACACAATGATGGTTTTTGTTCTTTGGTATCTGCTGCCTGTTCCCTTCGTGCTCCCACAGGCTCGTGTGCTTCTTCTCTGTGGACTTTGTTGTTTCTGAGCTAGATGGCCGCTTGTTTGCCTACACAACTTCAGGTAGTTTTAACAACAATAACAAAAAGATCTGTCTTATTTATTGATTCCCAACCTTGCTACAGAAAGAATTTAAAGTAGCTTCTAAAGACAGGTGGGCAGGGCTTATTAGCAAATCCTATTTATAAGGGAAGCGCATGTTAGGCAAGGTGCTCACCCACCCACACATCCTTTCTGAAAAGGCACCTGTGACCAGTCTTTCTCAAACCCTGTGCAAGGATGCCTCCCCGAATGCTTTTGTAAAATATCGTGTATTAGTAGGAAATTAAGTTGCCATAAAATACAAGCCCACCTTGCTTGATTGTCAGATTGCCAGATGTGAAGTGACTCTGTTAGATGAATATAAAAGTCGCTTACCATGCATGTTCCTTCTCTGTACACGTCTTTGTACACCACGCTTTTTGGGGTGCACCCTGCTAAATAAGATGCACTGTCCTACACCAAGTAAAGCGCAGTTCTGGGAAGACGATGACTTGCCCTCACGGGATGTCAAGCGGAGATTCCCAACACTTGAGCTCGCCATGGGAAAAGCTGCGTATAAATGGTTCCACACAGTTCAGACTTCTGCTGCTCGATCCGACGGATCTCGACTTCAAAAGGAGTTGGTGCCCTTAACCCCTGCATTGTTTGTTGTTGTTGTTGTTTTACATAAATTAACCCATTTATTACCGGCCAGAGAGGTTTCAGATAGCGGAGCGTCTACTGGTCTTTCAATCCCTTCAGTCTTCTGATGGCGGACTTGACTGTGACAGCAGAGGTGGTATTGTAGGTCCAGGCCCCACCAGCTCCTGTCTTCATGCAGGAACTGCAGTGCCAGATGCCCACAGCACGCCTCTTCATCTTGGTTCTGCCGCAGAAGGAGCAAGTGTGTTTGGCATGTTGGCTGATTTCACTGTTCTTCACCATGTTCCTGAGGGAGGCACCGTAACGGGTCCTGTATTTGCCCACGACCCCAACCTTCGTGGTGCGTTTGGCCATCTTGCCACAAACTAGTCCCTGGCCACAGAGGCAACCCCAGTCTCCGCCTTGGAGTGTAAACTGAGAGATGCCAAGTCAAAGGGCCGTTCACACACTGACAGAATGCTTCAACAGAAGGCAGGAACGAGAACCCGAGTGATGAGGAAAGAAGAGGCTCTAGAGAGCCACAGAGGTTACAGCTGCACAAAAAGCTAAAGAACAGCCAAACCGAAACGAGAATGGGAAGCAAATGTGGGGAAAGATTGCGAGCAGCAGCAAAGGCTGGTCTCTAAGGAGGAGAAGGACCCGACATGGAGACTGTGGGGCTCCAAGTTAACAAACAGCACGAAGAGCCCCACAGGACCTCTCTCACTATGTCCATCGCAACAAGGCCTCAATCCCACTCTACACCCAGCCCCTTTTCAAAAATGCCCACTGCCGTGGAAGCACATCCCAAATCAGCAACATTCCAACTATAGGACAAAGTAGAACTGTCCCACGAAGTCTGCGAGGCCCTAAATCTTTACAAAATCAAGCTGCTGGAGAGCCTCACCACAGAACTCTGAGCTGGCTGCAAACCAGGCACCATCCACAGACAGCCCAGGCACCACCCTCTTCCCCTCCACCCCCCCACCCCCACCCCCACACACACACGGTGGACCTGGGTGCTAGGTTGATGAGAAGGCAGAGGCTCTTGTGGGCCCTGCAGTAAGACTCCCCCTTCGAAGGCCAACCTCGCTCTGGTTTCTGTGGGGAGTCGTGGCGAGGTGAAATGTCTTAATATGGCTTTTCTATCCAGGTCTCTTTAACTGAATTGGGTAAGACTCTGCAGTGGGTGGGTTTCCTGGCTCAGGAGACTGAGGCTGAGGCACCACATGGATAAGAGGCTGAGGATCAAAGACAGAGACAGAGCTACTACTGGGGAGAGGTGTTGCTGTGGACCAATGACTCTATCCTTTGTGTTTCCTGATCCTGGCTTATAGTAACCTGCTAACGTCCCTAGTACGCCTCCATAATAAATCAACCTGCCAGGTCTTTCTCCCATGGAGCAGCTGGTGGGTTCAAGAAGCTAACATCTAGATCAGCAATGAAGCACTGAACCACTGTGCTGCCAAGGCTCCTGTCCAGCCCCGAACAAAACAAAACACAAACACTGTAAGCAAGTCTCTTTCAACTGACCTGTGAACATGTTGGTTTGGGATTGGGCTGTTAACTCCTAGTTCAGCAGTTCAAACCCACAAGCCACTCCTCAGGAGAAAAATTGGGCTCTGTGTTCCCACAAAGATTTATGGTCTCAGAAACCCAAATGAGTTCTACTCTGTCCTACAAGATCACTATGAGTTCCTGCTCCAGTTACATTAAACTTCACTTCTACTTCTCATCCCATAAGAATTCTAAAAACACAGAAACAAAGAATTCTAATCATCAGCCCAACCACCAAGCTGGTTAAGTCTGGAAGTTTAGCTTACCTTTGAGTTTCAGCAGTGGAATTACTTGAATTACTTAAACTCATGATGTCTTCTAACTCTTTCAAAAAACCTTCTGTTTCTTCAGGATGTACAACTTCCTTATTGATGAGTTAAAAATATCTGAGATATTGACTTATGTGGCTGGATGGACTGAAGTCTGTTAAGAGTAAACATTGTAACAGTGGTTGTACATCTGAGTCCTGAATTTTTAAGTGATTTCCTCTTGTTCTTTTGTTTACTCGTAATTTATAAATTACTGCACAAAATATGCAATACTTGTCTTCAGAAAGTGATTTTATTTAAGAAAAAAATTGGAAACAGAAATGATAGCATATTAAAAAAATATCCTCCCTTCTGATAAGAACAAGGTAATGATGATATTGATAAATTGATTTCTCAAAAGAAAAATTAGAGAGAGTAAAATGTGAGTTGCTGTCACGCCAACTCATGGCCATTCCGTGTGTGCAGAGCAAAGGTGCTCCACGGAGGGGCAGTTACCTCTCTGAAGCCAACTGCCAGGCCTCTCTTCCGTGGGACCTCCAGTGGATCCAAACTGTCAACCCTCCACCTAGTGGTTGAGAGCACTTCATATCACCCAAGGGACACCTCCAACAAAGTACATGGTGGCAAACTATGCCTAAATTCAGAAAGGCAACACAGAGTGCCAATCTTTAAGACCCAGCACTCAGTTTGAAAGAAAGTAAAAGCCCAGGGGCCCTTAGGTCCTTGGAGCCTTTATGGGGTATTTTTAAGGTAACTTTGAAATAAAAATACCAAAGAAAAGACCCTACTATAACTTTCACACTTCCTCTGTCCCAAGGCAGGGACAGCAGAGGAAGCAGCTGGGGAAAGGAGAGCAGCTGACACTGGACTGGCATTGGTCTGCATCCTCAGAGAGGACAACTCCATGTGACATTTCAGAGCCAATGGTGGTACAGTTCTCTACCAGACACCTCATCCAAAGCCCTGGCGTACTCACATCTGGGTCCTTCAGTGGGCCATCCTGAGGGTACTCATCCTTCCGTGGGTCTGCTCAGACTGAGGGAAAGGGTGGGAAGGAGAATGAAAAGGCAGATACTATTATTAGTTCATGCTGACTATGGTACCAGACACTAGGCTCTCTTTAAATCCTCCCAGGAGCCCTAGGTGATTATTACACCTGTTTCACAGATGAAGAAATGGGAGCCTGGAGAGGCCAGATAACCTAGGTAAAGATATTTAATGACAGAGTTAGAAATGCGAAAGCCCATCCTATTTCTTTTTTTTTTAATGTTATTAGCATTTCTTCCTCATGTCATACAATTCAATAATTCAGTCAAGAGGTTGTACAATTATCGCCACATTCAATTCTAGAACATGTTCTTCTTCTTCCTTATACTGTTATTCATATAAATATTTTTTATAATTGTGGCAAAAATATACACAACAAAACATTCTCCTGTAAGAGCCCCCAATAAAAGTATTTAATTTTTTTAAATTCTCCAAATTCCACAACTTCTACCTATATAATTCATTGCCATTGACGATAGTCTTCGTGAGCCATTCTCTTTCCAATACACAGTGCTACTTGCAATACAGGCTTGGCTCCACGCAGGGCCATCTCAATAAAGCTCAGAAGGCAATTAAATGAATTATATGAACTGTTCTGGTGTCCCAGTAAAGGCCTTGACTCCCCAGTTATGTTTATACTATACTGAAGTCCATTTGGGAGAAAGATGGGACTTTCTGCTCCCATTAACAGTTACAGTCTTGGAACCTCACAGGGACAGTTCTACCCTGTCCTGTAGGGTGGTTATGAGTTGGTATTGGCTCAATGGCAGCGAGTAATCTATTTAGGAGCCCCGGTAGAGTAGTAGTTACACATTAGGCTGCTAACTTCAAGGTTTGAAGTTTGAAACCACCAGCAGCTCCAATGGAAGATGAGGCTTTCCACTCCTATAGAGAGTTAGTCTCAGAAACTCACAGACACAGTTCTACCCTACCCTACAGATAGGCTCATTAGGAGTTGGCACCGACTGGATGGCAGGGAGTTTTTTTAGTAGCCTATGAAGGAGCCTTGGCGGTGTACTGTTTCTGTGTTGGGTTGCTATCTGCAGGGTCAGCAGTTTAAACCAACCACCTGCTCTGTACGGAAAAGATAAACCCTTCTGTTCCCATAGATTTACAGGCTGACATCCAGTAGCACTTCTACTCTGACCTATAGGGTCACTACAAGTCACAATCCAACCAATGGCAGTGAGTTTGCTCTTTTGCTTTTGACTAGTCTATAAGTGAGCATCATGAAAAAAGTTTAAAACATTGTGAGAATTACCAAAGTGTGCCACAAAGACATGGAATGGGCACAAAGTGTGGGGAACATGGCAGCGGTAGACTTGCTCCACACAGGGCTGCCTCAAACCTGGGATGAGTATCTGAGAGGCAGTGCCCATGGCCTAGTTTAAGGAGGCAGTAACCATGCCAGGGTGGAGCCTTGGATCAGCAGAGTTAACTGGGGTGCTTGGCTCTTTCTGGAACCCTGGTGGCACAGTCCTTATTAACAGGGCTTAGAAATCACCAGTCCCCCCACAGGTCCAGTCCATAAAGATTTACAGCCTTGGTCACAGTATGATCCTGTTCTATGAAGCAAGGCTGACTCAAGGCAGTGGGGTTTGGGGTTCTTTGGTGGGTCCATGAAAATACAAATAAAGAGCTGAGACACAGAATCAGAAGGGTTTCACAATGAATTGGAACTTGAGGGCCCAAGTCCATCCTCGTCAGCTGACAGATAAGGAACCTAATGCCTAGAGGGGTCAGGTGTGGAAAGACCCAGACCAGTCAGTCCCTCCACACCCCCTCTTGGCAGGCTGCCTGCCTGCATTTCATGGGAAACCACTTCCACTGCCTGCCTCTTGCATTGTTTTATGGTTTCTAGGCACCAACGGTTCAAGCAAGTGCAAAACAATGGAGTCTTGTCTTCCAGCACTTAGGGTACAGCTGCAAGGAGCCCACGTAGCAGGTATTTCAAAGAGCTGGTGAGCTTTCTAGTGAACGTATGCAGTCATATGTGAGACACTAGTAAACATGGATGTGCCTGGGAACATCGTCCTGCTGGGGATAAAGAGCATTCAAAAAGAACGTATGTACTTCTACAGATACTAGCCTTGCCTTGCGAAGGCGCAAAGCAGGCTTCTCCCAAGCCTTTTAAAGCCCTGAAAAAAGAGGGCAGTCAGATCTACAGACGATTGATCAAACTTTTAAAAAAAGTTTTTAAAGAGGAAGAACACGACACGGTTTTGCCCTCGAGGGACTGACGGACCCCACTTGTGGAGTCCTGCGCCGGAGCTGCAGTCCAAGATCGAGAGTGCCAAGCCCAAGCCCCTGGGGTCCGGTCCTCAGGTCCCCACCCACTCAGCGCTCCAGGTGCTACCACCCAACCGAGGGTGCTGTGGGGATTCCCCTCCAGGTGGACGGAGCGGTCCAGCCGTGGAGGCAGGAGGCGTGTCCCCACAGGCCACACGAACCGGTCACAGACAACCCCAAACTCACTCGGGGTCCCCATAACTCCTCGCCCGTTCATCTCAGCGCCTCCCCGCCCACGTCGTTGGCATCCAAGCCCTCACATCCCGCGGTTACCTCAGCGTCCCCCTGTGCTTCAGATCGCACATCCCAGACCCCCGCGGCAGCTCCGTGTTCCCGGGGTGGGAAGTCCGGCAGCCCGCTCGAGAAAGCGCCCAAACTGTGGGAACCCGACGGGCTCTAGGACCCGGGGGAGAAAGACTAGTAGCAAAGGCCCACTGGCAGGGGCTAAGCCCCCGGGTGGGGAGGTTTACAACGGTCACTTCCGGGGGCTGGGAAGGCTCGGCTTCCCTCGCAGACCGCCGCAG